TTTAATTTCGTCATCATCCAGTTTCATATGGTACATGTTTAATAATAATATATATTCTCAGAGAAACGTGACACATGTTGACAGAACAACACTCGTTGATTCTACAACTATATAGATGTAAAGCAACTGAGCACTGAAAGGGTTTCTGTAAAGAACGAGTACCAGTATTCACACAAAATTAATTTTGTGTTTTCTTTCCTCCTTGTTTTTTAAAGTGTACGACTACTGCTAGCTAACATTTTATGCATTCACTAACTAAGCCAGTTTCTTTTTCACAGCCTAAGCATCAGACAATTATTGCCAAGTCAAAATCAAATACAAAAATACATTAGCTATTTAAAATTCATGTTTCCCCACAGATAGACTAAAAGCCAGGGGCTCACAAAAACACCTCAAAGACCACACAGAGGAAATTAAATATGAGTACAAAGAAAATCTATTGATTTTAACACCCTGTGATACACATTGGAAGGTGTGTGTAAAAATCCACCTGTTAAAAGTTGATTTCTAGAGGTGAAACAAATTAAATTAGTGTTAATTAGCAGAGACAATAGGAAATTTCTCAGGTTAAAGAATAGGGTAGGGTAATTTCCAAAAGAATACAAGTACAAGTATCTCTGTTTCATTAGTCTACACATTCAGAAGTTCATTCTCAACTATTGCCATTTAAGTTCAACTACCTAGTTCCTTGTATCCTAATAGATGAGAGCTCCATTTCTTTTATGGAGGGGTAATAACTGGTGCTAATGTTTTCAGAATCACACTAATTCTTTCTAATCCTTGCCTAAAAAAGAAATGAGGGTATTAAAAATACTTCCACACAGGTACAATCAAAGCTCTACAAAAATTTAAAATTTGTACATTACCTTCCAGCAGGAGAAGTAACATCCAGGAGTGTTATTATATGTTTACATTGATTAGCAAACATTTGAAGTTGAGGAAGTTTAGCTTCACTTTGAAACCACCACTTGGGGAATGTACTTGCAATCTAGAAATAGAAAGGCTTTAATTTTAATTTGATAAATAAATGACATATAATGCCATGTAGACTGAAAAAATGAATTTTGTAATTAAATTGGGTGCAAACTGCTGTCACACATACCATATGACATTTTGCTGCAGCATCAATCGGATCAGAAGTACGAAGTGCAACCATGAGATAACGATTTAAAAGTGCACCAAGAGCAACTTCTTGAAGGACTAAGTCACTGACTACACCCTGCCAGCAAAGAAGGTTTCGTAGTAATTTGATGGCACTAGTAGTCTGGCGCTGGAAAAAAGCTGGCATTCCCGGAGCAACATTTGAGGTCTGACTAGATTTCGCATCTAAGAATCTGTAACATATCAATCACGATACAATTTAATAAAACACATATATTTATCGATTAGAGTCACATTTACATATTGATGGAGAACCTACTGCCTGGGGTAAATAGGAATAAATACATCATTTTCCACCGCTGATTTCATTTTTTCAACAATGGCTGAGAGTAAATTGTTGAGGGGTTTACTTGAGCTCACCAGCGATGGATACTCTTGCAGGAGATGGCTCAAAAGCAACACTAGTCTTTGTGTTTGGGAAGTGGAGAGAGGGTCCCAAGTTGCCTCCACAACGTCTGAGTGAGTAGATAGATCAGGGAAACATAAATTATCTAGATTGCACTACATTTTCGTAAAGCACAAAACATCAGAAAACTTACCTTTAAGTTTTGGTAACACAACCTTTTCGATTACTAAAGGAATAAGCTTGAGGTCTGGGTCATTTTTCAGACCCTCTTCAGTTTCTTTCTGTTCCAATCCATATAAGAGTAAACTGTCAAACCACTTCATTTTCTCTATCTTATTAAATTCATCCTGCAAAAACAACTTTGACTCAAAAAACAACCAATAGATCAAATTATTGAATAACCATATATGTGCATTTTACAAACATATATGTACATATTCAACGTGAGCACTTACCAATAAAGGATTCCACATGAGCATCTGTATTCTAAGTAGGGGAGACAAAACTTTAGGAATGCATAAACTAACATAAGCTTCTGTGTAGGACTCCCAATCTTTGACACGCCATCTCTCAAAATGTTTCAATACTGATTTAACTGTGCAGAACTCATCTACAACATCCTCAAAAACAAGATGAGCATCAGATTCTATAGCATCTGCAAAGAATTCCAGAAATAGGAAAAATCAATCATACATGCACAGACAAGGGGACAGAAAATTATACAACAGCAAAATACTGTATAAGTACCTTTTTGAGCACGGAATGATGTTATTTCCAGTTCAGTCATTTCATCATCACTTGACATGCCATCAAGATGTTTCGGTGGATTGATATTTCCAAACTTAGTTGATTCACGAGCTTTGCTCCTCCGTATACGACGTCCTTCTCGTTCTGCGGCTCGTCGCGTTCGAGAATCTTCTTCTTCCTTATTACGTTTAGCATTGGCTAAAATTGGAGAACAAAGAGGGGATAGGATATGGAAAAACTTATACTATGATACTGTTCAGAGTGTATTTTGGCTAACCGAGGAAGAAGAAGAGGGGGTAGAACATAAACGTTCTCGATAGGTCGAGAGATTCCCGACTCTCCGCCACGCCGGTTGAGGGGGTAGAGGCTCGGCCAAACAGGAATCTTTATGTTCTACCCACTTCTTTTCTGCTTCCGTTAGTCAAATACACAATCGGATACATAGTTAGTTTCTTCAAGCATCAACAATAACTAAAACTTCAATGAACTTACAAGGAGCATTTTCATTGGCTTGGTCTAGAACATCTTGTCTTCTTCTTGAAATTAACTCTTCTGCACGTTTACGCCATAGAGAGAGAACACGCTGCTCCAAATTTACAAGGATCGGCATCTGCACACACAGAATTTAACAAACAGAGTTAGCAGAGCATTGCTATCCATAGGTCAAAATTCGTACTCACCATTACCAACAAGATACAAAGACACTAGAACTGCACACTCTACTTAGGTATACCAAAGAGCTTTTTCAAAAATATTTTCAGACATCTTTTTTCATAGATATGGAATTAATTTTAAAGAAACAAAAAATATCTAAAATATATATTGCATTTTTGCGAATGTTTGTCATTCGTCAGCAAAATACCATATTCTCCAATAAAAAATTGACAGTGTTTATATTTAAAATAACCTCTCCTTTATTCACACAAAATTATGACGTTTTAAAAGTTTAGCAGCAGGGAGAGATTTAGTTTACATTTTTCGCTGATCTCTTGCCAAAGAAAGGCAAACATTCGCCACTGTTCAACTAATATGCTCATGGAAGACCAGTGAGTGATAACAAGATAACCATTTATGAGTTGGCCAGAAGCAGACCATAAAACATATCATTCTGCTCTAGTTGGCCATGTCAATGGATCGTTTTCCAAATAAATGGAGCCTACACATCACAGGGCCGGTGGCCAGCGCAGTCTTATTTTTCTAGGGAATACTGTGCTGCATCCAGGCGTGCAGGCGGGTTGCCTATCCGCTAGGTGTCATAAGGCGTCATGGTTTTGTGACAATACAATAGGCAAACGCGCACATACCCCTGCATGCGGTACAGAGTACCAAAAATAAAAAGACGGCGCTTCCCACCCAGCCTGTATACAAAAGCAACTGACAAGGTTTAGATTAAAAAGATTCAAGTGAGAAAGAAGAAAAAAAAAAAAACAGAAGTGGTACTGCCGCCACTTAGAAAAAATGGCAAAACCCACACTTCCAATAGAGAAGATCAGCTTGTCCCCAGCAAGAGCAACAACATTTGACAAAATTGAAAATTCAGAGAAATTTTAATTTCATTTTGGTTCTACCTTAGAGAATCATACAAAAAAGAGACAAATAATCAAAAAAATCTACAAATAACTCAAAGCTTGAGTTTTTCCAAAGAGATGTTAATCTCAGTTCTTGTCAAATGTCGGCTCTGATTCCAAGCAAAATTTTCACCAAATAAAAGACACTCAGATGAGGAACCCACCTTCTCGTCAAGACATTCTACCAAGTCTGTGACATACCCACGCAACTCTTGGTAAAAGCGAAAACGCTCTGCAAGTTTCGGTGTTTCAGCCTCAAGGCGTCGGACCTCGCTTTGTGTTGCAATCAAATCATCTGTAACTTGGTCTTGATCTAAACAATGTCTGCGATGAACTTCTTGCAAGTCTTTCAACCTGTATGAGTTATAATTTATGGTAAAATATGCAAATAACTTACAGGAAAGAATCATAACATGTGTTTATGAAAGATTAATATCACTGCTAGCATTACCTCTCCTTCAATTTGGCAGAAATGTTCTGAGGTGTATCAGTGCCATTTTCTGATTTCAAAGCACTAAACCTTTTTTCTACCACAGAACCTGTCTCCAGAGTGTTATCTGATATAGAAGTGTTGATTGGTGACATATCCATAGCCACAGCAGGGGCTTCCAAACTAGCTGGGGGAGGCATGGGCATTGCATACTGCTGTTGGTATAAAGTTTCATGCTGAACTGCAGCTAACTGTTAAGAGTAAAATATAATAAATATAAGCACCACCGGGGGGGGGGGGGGGGGCACATAAAATATAATTCAATGTCCTACCTGAGCTCCAGTTACTCCTTTACGAATTTGTTGGGACTCCCATTCATCTTCCTCACCCTTGTCACTTTCATGATCGCTGTCATCATTTTGAACAGATAGAAAAGCTTCCCTTTTCCTGTCCCTATCCCTTGCTGCTGAAGGTACAGCCATTTGTACAGGCTCTTCTTCATCATCACTATTGTCATTATCATCTTCACGAACAAGACGAGACTTTGTTGAAGAATTATTATATCTGAAATTGAAGATATAGTTCTTTCAAAAGAGCTGTAGGTACAGAATAGTCAGATTACTTGACAACCATAGGGGACTCACTTTTGTGTATCTTCTACAGGTATAAAATCTCCACCCATTTCCCTTGCTCTTTGTCTGCGTTTTCTTGCTGCATGAATCATGGCAGCATCTGGTATACGACCACCTAAAAATTGAAGCAGAAAGAGAAAGATTGTTCTCATACTGATATAAATTAGAAATAACATTTTCACTTTCAAACATACGCTAGACACTGAACATACTTTCAAGAATTATCTTCATATTATCAGGCTGAGAGAATTTATGTTCTGTTGCTTTCTGAGGCTTTGCGCTCTCTTCTTCATCATCATCACTCTGGTAATCAGGGTCTGCCAACTCTGCCTGTCGACCATTAAGTACAGGTGCTGCCAGTCGAACTGGTTCACTTTGCTTAACAACCATCTGGTTAGAACAAAAGAGTGACAATAAGAGTGAACATATTACTCAAGACACTGAATAAACTTTCCATGAGAAACTGCTTACAACAAGATCACCCGTGATTATCTCCTTGTCCTTACAAGACGCATCATCTTCAATTTCCATTTTCTCAACTTTCACTTCTTTCTTCTTTTTCCTTTCCTTATCCAAGAGCTTCATCATCTTTTTGCTTTGTGATGACTTCCGAACTTGAAAAACCTCTCCATCATCAGCTGTGTGTAACAATACAGTTGTTAAATAACATAAATCCAAAACCTGATACATTGTGCTCCTTCACTAAGCCAAGCATGAAAAGGTAAGAATTAACATGATAGTAATAATATCCAAAATAAATTGTTGTAGGCTGGAGTTGATACATATTGACAACAGTAAAATCAGCTTTGACCAGGAAAACAGACATAGCATGAAATAATGTGATAGAGATTTTCATTAAACTGCTGGTTGCTAAATGAGAGATATGGTGCTGTAAGAATAAAGTATTTTGAAAGATAACGCGCTGACAACGTATTGATACGTATTGATCCAGAATCATAACCTATAAACAACACGAATCAAAATTCTGATGTGAATTAGTGATACAGGGGGACCTACAATCATTTTTTAGAATTTGCTTCATCTTACACCTACCTTCGTTAAAGTCTTCTTCAAAACTAAGTAGTGTTTGTTTACGTTGCTCTTTCTCTTTCTTCTTGGCCTTAGCAATTTTCTCCCTGATTTGAGCCATACTTTGCTCCTCATCATCCACATCCATTTGATCTCCATATTCTTCAGTACTTTCTTCACCAACACCCAAGGGCCGTCTTCTAATATTTTTCTTGGGTTTCTTAAAGAAAGACATTTTACACTTTCAACACAAAATTAACGGTGTTGACGGTTAAGGTCTTAAAACGTAGACTTGTAGAGGTTAGATTTGTACCGATCGCTGGTTCTGCCAAATTGAGATGACAAAATACCCAACCTTCATAAAAATGAGATGAAAAGATACGGATCACTTGAAAACAATGAAAATTTAATAATTAAAGATCTTACGAAATATGATCATCACCATACCTTCAAAAGGTCACAACTCGGATTTTTCTTCGTCATTTTGCAGTTTCGGGATGTTGGTCGTCTGTTTCGGTAACATCGATCTCGATGGTATCATATCGATAGTACACAACAAAAACATTTCTCCGATCTCGCCGCTATAACGACGACTTTAAAATACATTTTCGTGGATTCCAGAAGTAGGTTTGTAGATTTATTTGGATCAAAGAAACTACCAAATAACTGTCCTGTTACAATTATCATTAAAATTGTGAATGTGGACTCTATTTTATGAGAAAGAATTACTTGTAACTCGCAGCTCCCTAACCTATCGCTGCAAGATGTACACGTTTGCTGTCAAGCAGACTGGTGTTTTCATTTTTGTAACAGAAGGGAAACATTCAATAGTTCCGTTAAAAAATCACCTCATCAACAACAATGGCGTGCTGCTGATCCGATACCAACCGGCCCATTTTGATGTCATCCCTTAAATATTTCACCACAACCCACTTACTTACTACCTTGTACTGCCTCTTGACATTACCTGTAATCTTTTTCAGGGATGGCGGGGCCCGTGCTCCTGCCGCGCATGACGCGCTCCTTACGAGCGTTCACTCAGCTGGAACCTCCCCGGGACCTATCATGCACTGTAGATGATTTACAATGGCAAACTGAGTGGAACAAGGAACAGCTCATGAGGTACGTAGACTGGGTTGAGAAAGAGAGATGGAGTTAGCTTCGCAGATTGAAAATCCATCTTGTTGGTTTCAGGGGTATTTCATGGTCCGATGTTGTTCATGTTGTTGGAAAAAACACCTCAAAGTCTAACAATATACTGGAATGTCTTCAGAAGCTACGTTTGCAAACAGAGAAGCTCATGGGTAAGTCTAACATTTTTCATGCTTTAATTTATCATTCTCAAGGTAACTCATTTTCACTTCCCAATCCACTTACAGGAGATCAAAGCAAGTCAGTGATTGATGATACTACCCTGTTTGTTTTTTTCTTGTTCTTGTCTGAGAACAGAGTTGTTAGTCAAAAGCAGTTGCACAGCCTGAAAGGCATGTTTGGCGTTATCTCAAATAATGCTGCTGACTCAATGAGAAAGGTAAATAACTTCAGTATGGTTCAGTATTGTGTTTGCATCAAAAGTTAAGTGTATTTTAACGTTTGATATGACCCTCCAGCTCGTAAAGGAAATATTAGATGATCTGTCTTATGGAGTCTTAGAAAGTCTGAACAGTCTTGCATCTAAACATGCCAAGGATAAACTGCAAACCGATAAACTACCTACAACTTTCAGCTGTGCATTCAGCTCACAAGTTCAATACATTCCTCAAAAACCCTGGGAACCTGACACCAGTGCCTTAGCCGATTTGACTGACTCTGTTGCAACTGGTGGAGAATCAGTTGCAGCTAAAGAATTCACCATGAGGTATGAAGGTGCCACTTCAGGTCCTTCAGTGGCAGAAAATCGTGGTGTTAAGAAAGGCTTGGTAAGACTATGTCTCATACAGAAGCATATGCCACATGCAATATAATCAGCACAGTGTTCTTAATTAAATCTAATCTAATATTTATTCCAGTATGGGATGACATGGATGGAAAATGAAGTAAAAAAATATTACAGTGATTCAAACCCATGTGGGTTATCATGCAGAGAATTTTGTGAGTCCATTTTAACTTTATTGAAGACTGAAAAGGGAAATGATGAGCTCCAAAATGAGGTGATACAACTTTTTGTCATGATGTTTTGTTAATTATGAAATATTCTCTCTTCTTTTCACTTCTTCTCACATCTATCAATCTTAACTTTCTTCTTTCAGCTCTTTGACTTAATGGGCTTTGACCGATTTGAGCTGATCCAGACTTTTCTTGAGCGTCGGCGTGATATTGTGCAAGGTGTAAATGTTGAAAAAGAGAAAAAAAATCTTGTGTCCAAAGCAGGTAATTAGTTTAAATGGTCTTTCAAACTATCATTTTCCACAATTTTTGTTATTTACATAGGATTAAATTAAAATGTGTTCAGGTAACTTGTCAGCAATAGAAAACGCTCGTGCTCCTTCATTTGGTTGTCAAGTTGTTGTTCAGTCCCAAATGGAGAAACATCTGCAGAAAATAGCACGTAAAGAAGAAAAGCGTATTCACAAAGTACTAGGAAAACTTGATCTTGATGAAGAAGATGAGGATGAATTTAACCCAGTAGAGCTACGTGCCAAAAGGTGAAGTATACTCTCTTTATTTTCATCTTCATATTACCTTATTATTATTTTTGTATCTAATTGTATCTGTTATACACTTTTTATATGTGGCCTTTAGGCAAGCAGCCTTGAAAGCTGCTGCTACAATGCCTGTACTAAATAAGGAGCCTTTAAGACAAGCTCTTCAACCTCGTCCAAAGTATCCCAATGTTTATGACTCTCAGAGCCAGGCAAAACAATCTTCAGGTGATTTAGAAGTTTGAAAGTCTACTTGTTCTTACTTTTAGAATGTTTAAACAATTCTAACATTTTTAATGTGCATTTTTAGGCTTTATCTCTGGCACAAAAATAATCTTGCCTGAAGGGGTTATTCGTCATGACAATAAATCTTATGAGGAAGTTTCCATTCCAATATCGGAACCTGCTCCACTCAATGTTGGCAATCAAAGAGTGGCTATTTCATCTCTAGATAATGTATGTCATTTAACCATGCTTGTTCCTTCGAAGTTTATCTTTCTGTTTTTTGTTACACTGTCATTTTCTTTCTTTCATAGATTGGGCAGATGGCATTCCAGGGTGTTAAGAGTCTGAATCGCATTCAGTCAGTTGTATTTGACCTGGCTTATCATAGTAATGAAAATTTATTAATCTGTGCTCCAACAGGAGCAGGTAAAACAAATGTAGCTATGCTTACTGTTGTACATCAAATTCGTCAACACATAGAGAAAGGTGTCATCCTAAATGATCAGTTCAAGGCATGTTACTGCAGTACTATTCCTCCAGATTAATCACTGAGAAGGTTTCGGCTTTCTAAATTTGTGTTTTCTCCAAATATTTTTAAAACACGACTGTTATATTTACAGATTGTTTATGTTGCTCCAATGAAGGCATTAGCTGCTGAAATGACTGCTAGTTTTGGTAAACGTCTCAGCCCTCTTGGCATATCTGTGCGTGAGTTGACTGGTGATATGCAGCTAACTAAATCTGAGATAATGAAAACCCAGATGCTGGTTACAACTCCTGAAAAATGGGATGTAGTCACCAGAAAAGGGACTGGTAAAGTTGAATTTTTTAAGCCAATAAACCTTTTTTTATCACCAACCTTATGATTTTATCTATCTAGTCTATTATTTTATTCCTTCCAGGTGATGTAGCACTGACTAATTTAGTGAAACTATTAATAATTGATGAAGTTCACTTGCTACATGGTGATCGAGGGCCTGTTGTTGAAGCTCTTGTAGCCAGAACATTGCGCCAAGTTGAAAGTTCTCAAAAGATGATTAGAATCGTGGGTCTATCTGCTACATTGCCAAATTATATAGATGTTGCTAGGTTTTTACGGGTAAACCCATTTTCTGGTCTCTTTTTCTTTGACTCTCGCTTCCGCCCTGTCCCTCTCAGCCAGACATTTATTGGTGTGAAAGCTGTGAAGCCTATGGCTCAGATGCAGGAAATGGACAATGTGTGTTATGAGAAGGTTGTCGACCTTGTCCAGAAGGGACACCAGGTTATGGTTTTTGTGCATGCACGCAATGCAACTGTTCGCACAGCAAATGTGTTGAAAGAGATGGCACTGCAGAAAGGTCAGCTCAAGTTCTTTGAAGTTGAGGAATGCAGCTCTCTTGGTCTGGCTAGGAATGCACTGAGTCGATCCCGCAACAAGCATCTGGCTGAATTGTTCCAATGTGGCTTTTCTGTACATCATGCTGGAATGCTGCGCTCTGACCGATCGCTAGTTGAGAAATACTTTGGTGAAGGATTCATCAAAGTTTTAGTTTGCACCTCCACCTTGGCTTGGGGTGTTAATCTACCAGCACACGGAGTTGTGATTCGGGGAACTGAGATTTATGATGCTAAACATGGTTCATTTGTTGATTTGGGTATATTGGATGTACTGCAGATATTTGGTCGAGCTGGTCGTCCACAATTTGACAAATCTGGAACAGGCATCATTATAACATCACATGACAAACTTAGTCACTATTTGTCCCTCTTGACAAACCAATTTCCCATTGAGAGTAATTTTATCAAGTTTCTTGCTGACAATTTGAATGCAGAAGTCACATTGGGAACAATAAGCAATGTGGATGAAGCTGTTGAGTGGTTGAGTTACACTTACCTTTTTGTAAGGATGCGGATCAATCCTCAAGTTTATGGTTTGAATTATCAAGATGTTGTGAATGATTCCCTTTTGGAAGAAAAAAGAAGGGATCTTATTAAGGCTGCTGCAAAGGCGTTAGACAAAGCAAGAATGTTAAGTTATAATGAACGAACCGGGGATCTTCGTGTGACAGGTAAATTTATTCAAAACTCAAAAATCTGTTTCATGGTGCTCACCATTTTTGTTTTTAAAACTTGTTATTTTGTACAAATTTTAGATTTGGGTCGCACGGCTAGTCATTTCTATGTCAAGTATGACACAGTGGAAATATTCAATGATTTAATGAAACCGGTGATGAATGAAGCAGAGATCCTAGCAATGATATCTCACTCTCAAGAGTTTGAGCAGTTAAAGGTATTGTTGTTGCAATTTTTGTGAAACACGTTTTATACATTTTAGTTTACCATTACTTACTTGATTACTACTTAATACAATATTGTATAATTTCTTTACTGCGTTACAGGTCAGAGATGATGAATTAGATGAATTGGATGGACTTACAGCTGATTACTGTTTCGTGCCAGTGCAAGGGGGAAGTGAAAACCTTCATGGCAAAGTTAATATCTTATTACAAACATACCTGTCCCGAGGGCGAATCAATAGTTTTTCTCTTGTGTCTGACCAAGCTTACGTGTCTCAGGTCTGCATTTTTTTGTATGTATGGAATTTCAAAATTATGTAGTTTGTATCTAACATTTGTTCTTACCTCAGAACGCAGTTCGTATTGCCCGTGCGCTCTTTGACATTGTCATACGACAAAACAACCCTATCATGGCTGGGCGCTTTTTGATGATGAGTAAAATGTTTGACCTTCAGTTATGGGATTTCCAAAGTCCTATGAGACAGTTTCATATTATTAGTCCTGATCTTCAAGAAAAGCTTGAAGAGAAAAAACTAACTGTGGAAAAATTAAGAGACATGGATGCTAAAGAAATTGGTAAATCGGATATTATTTGTGTATTATGTCATAATAACTTTGAAAATTTATTTCTAAAACTATATTTTTCTCTAGGTTCCTTCCTTCGTCTTCCCAGAATGGGTCCAGTTGTTAAGAGATGTGCAGAGGAATTTCCATTGCTTGAAATGAGTGCATCACTACATCCCATCACCCGCACTGTTCTTCGTATAAGATTAAAAATTAAATCAAATTTCAGGTATGCTGTCATATAATTTGGAAATGTGATTTTAAAACTGTTAGTGAGAGTTTTGCTTTTTAAGATCTAACATACCATTTTAAGAAAAGTATTACCTAAGAGGGAACTGTTGTAACACTACTATTGCTTTATATTTCATAATAGGTGGAATGATAAAGTCCATGGCAAAACTTCAGAAGCATTTTGGGTGTGGGTGGAAGATCCAGAAACAAACCACATGTACCATTATGAATATTTCCTCATTACAAAGAAGCAGGTACTATTATTTATTTATTTATTTTCACCTCCTTCGTATTCTTTTTCTGTTTAATTGACCTTATTTCCTGATAATATGTCATGCTCTCTACCTGCAGGTTTTCAACCGTGAAGAGCAAGAACTTGTAATGACAATACCTTTGCAAGACCCCTTACCGCCGCAGTACTATGTGCGAGCCACTAGTGACCGCTGGCTTGGCTCTCAATCTTATCTTGAGCTTTCTTTCCGCCACCTTATTCGTCCTGAGAGTCACCCTCCTCACACAGGTACGTACTCCTTTATTCTGGAATGAATGGTGAGAAGCAATTTTGTGTATAAACTTAGCATAACATTATTTTTTAAAATTTCAGATCTCCTTGAGCTACAGCCTCTTCCAGTTACAGCCTTAGGAGAAACTCAATATGAGATGTTGTACAAGTTTTCACACTTCAACCCAATCCAAACGCAAATTTTCCACTGTCTGTACCACACTGATAATAATGTACTTTTGGGAGCACCCACAGGTTCAGGTAAAACAATAGCAGCTGAGATTGCTATGTTTAGAGTCTTCAAGGAATATCCTGGAAGAAAGGTAAGGGATGTATATTCTTTTTAAAATTACCTCCTACCTTAGTTGGTTATATATCTTCTGTCACCCAATAAAAGTTGTTTAGGGTAGTTACATACAAAACATTAGACAGATAGAAAGTTCCTACATATGCATAGAAAACTGCTTGTACAGACTTCCCTTGTAAAGTATTAATTTATCTTCTTTGTATAATTCTAGGTGGTTTACATAGCACCCTTGAAAGCATTAGTAAGAGAGAGAATTGGAGACTGGAAGGTGAGACTTGAAGGAAAACTCAACAAGAAAGTTGTAGAATTAACTGGTGATGTTTCACCTGACGTGCGAGCTATAATGGCTGCAGATGTAATTGTAACCACTCCAGAGAAATGGGATGGAATTTCTCGATCTTGGCAAACTAGGAATTATGTGCGAGACGTTGCTCTCATAGTAATTGATGAAATTCACCTCTTGGGAGAAGACCGTGGTCCAGTCTTGGAGGTCATTGTATCTCGTACAAATTTTATTGCCTCTCACACAACAAGAACTTTGCGTATTATTGGTCTGTCCACTGCTCTTGCCAACGCACGTGATCTTGCTAATTGGCTTGGTATAGGAGAGGTAAGTTGAGCATTCTCCAGTATAGCTGCTTACTAATCTCACTGATCTTATTGGGTTACTCTTTACTGTTGTTTTACTGATAATTTTTTTTTCTTTCTTGGAAGATGGGATTATATAATTTTAGGCCATCTGTCAGACCTGTTCCTCTAGAAGTTCATATTGCTGGATTCCCAGGAAAACATTACTGTCCAAGAATGGCCACAATGAATCGTCCTACATTCCAGGTAAGCAAATAGCCTTCTTTTTGTAGGATAATGTTTATACTAGTATTTATCAATCTATCTATAAGGATATCCTTTGATTTCAGGCAATCAGGCAGCATTCTCCTTGTCAGCCAGTGCTGGTATTCGTGTCCTCCAGACGTCAAACTAGACTTACTGCATTGGATCTGATTGCTTATTTGGCTGGAGAAGATGACCAGAAGCAGTGGTTACATGCTGATGAGACAGAGATGGAACAAATTATTTCTGGTATAAAGGACTCAAATTTGAAACTCACCCTTGCTTTCGGTATTGGTATTCATCATGCAGGTCTTCAAGATAGAGATCGGCGTACGGTGGAAGAACTCTTTGTGAACCGCAAAATACAGGTAATCCCTTTCCTCTCTACCATAGGCTTGTCTACAAGAGTTATTTGATGGTTTAATTAATTTTTCAAGCTTATTTTCCAAATTATGACTTTATTAAATACTCCCAAATTGAACAGGTTTTGATTGCTACAGCAACCCTGGCCTGGGGTGTGAATTTCCCAGCTCATATGGTGGTTGTGAAAGGCACTGAATATTATGATGGCAAGCAGCGTCGATATGTTGATATGCCCATCACGGATGTTCTTCAGATGATGGGCAGAGCTGGTCGACCACAGCATGATGACCAGGGAGTTGCAGTTGTACTGGTAAGTTTGGTTGGTAGTTCACAGCATGAAAGTGATTTAAGTCATTTTAACGCTGTCAACACTTTCTGAATTTTTTCCTAGGTACATGACATCAAAAAGAACTTCTACAAAAAGTTCTTGTATGAACCATTCCCTGTGGAGTCATCTCTCCTTGCTGTTCTTCCTGATCATCTTAATGCTGAAATTGTAGCAGGAACAATTCGTTCACGGCAAGATGCTTTGGATTACCTGACCTGGACCTATTTCTTCCGTAGACTTTTACAGAATCCATCATACTACAATCTTGAATCTTTAGAGCCCCAGGATGTTAATCACTATCTGTCTTTATTGATAGAAAATGCATTTAGGGACTTGGGCACTGCTGGTTGTATTAAGATGGATTATGATGTAAGCTGAAATTATTTTTTGGTTTTGCTAATAATCTTTATCTTCAGGGATTGTTAAAAAGGCACCTATTATTATTTCTAGGATGAAAGAAGTGTCTTGACTACTTCATTTGGCCGAATAGCATCTTTCTACTATCTCTCTCATCAAACAATGATGCACTTCAGTAGTGCTCTCAGAGCTGACTTATCTGATGAGGAGGTTCTCAAGGCTTTATGTGATGTGCATGAGTACTATGAGCTTCCCGTCCGACACAATGAAGACTTAATGAATGCGTAAGTTTGTATTTCCTTCACTTATATTGCAATGTGCATGGTGTGTTTTCTGTACATTGTTCTATTGTTGTAGCGAGCTTGCCAAAGATTGTCCTATTGCTGTTGATGCCCTTAACATGGACTCTCCTCATGTCAAGGCATGTCTTCTCCTCCAAGCACATTTCAGTCATTTGCCGCTGCCTTGCGCTGATTATCTAACTGACTTAAAGTCTGTGCTGGATCAAGCCATTCGTATCTTACAAGTAAGTGTTTATTGTTGGTTGTAAGTGCATGTCTGTGACTGATGTATACACAAAGTGATGTCTTTCATCTATATTTTAGGCCATGATTGATGTGTGTGCCGAAAGCGCGTGGCTGTCAACTACTTTGCGTGCCCAGCAGCTCCTGCAGCAGATTGTTCAAGGGGCATGGGTCCACAAATCTCCGTTTCTTACCTTACCTTTCATCGAGCAGCAGCACATGTATCTTTTCGCTAAACTAGATGATCCTTCCCTCGCTACGCTGCCTGGTTTGCGCGAAGCATGCTTCAACAACTATGAGAGGCTTGCTACAATCCTCCGAGGAGATTTTGATGATGGAGAAATCGAACAGGTAATTGAAGATAGTCCATTACATTTTCCTATCTATGAAGGTGCACTCCTTTTATTCTCTAAATCTTGATTAAATTTCTGTCTGTAGATACACCGAGTTCTATGTGAAATGCCTGCATTCAATCTTCAGCTGAGTATCAGAGGCTGGTGGGATGGTAGGAATCAAGATGAAGAGGCAGAAAGGAAGATAAAAATACCAGCTGACCGGGAAAATTGGATTGAAGTGCATTCTGAGCAAGAGTACACACTTGTCGTAAGGCTATCAGCTATCAGTAACTTTGTTAAATAGTTGGGAATAAAGATTTCTTTGATTGACTCCAATTTAATGTCATGGGCATGTTCATTTTCAGGTTAATCTGCATAGACTGAATCATTCTAGAGAATTAAAAGCACATGCTCCTCGTTTCTCTCGGTCTAAAGATGAAGGATGGTTTTTGACTCTGGGTTCTGTTGATGATGGAGAATTACTGGCTCTGAAGCGAGTTACTGGGGTCCGGGGGAGGTCAACCCAGCAGTTGTCATTCTACACTCCTCCAAAGCTTGGTGTGTACCACTATCAACATGGCTGATACTGATAATCTGATTATTCGTAGTTATACCTTTATTGTATGTAATCAATTTAACATTTTCAGGAAGAATCATTCTTACCCTGTACCTTATGTCTGATTCATATTTGGGATTAGATCAGCAGTATGACATCTATTTAGAAGTAATACCTGCTAATTTCAAGTGCCAGATCAACTCTGATCTTGCTGGACTTTCAATTGAATCCTTGAATGACGAGGAGTGCCAAGAAGCAGTGAACAGTATCAAAGAAGATGTATCAGAAAAATGGTAATCTAGTGGATCTTAAACAGGGTTCTGCTTTAAAGAAGACTTGGAGTTGGTCACAAAATATGAGGAGCTGTACGGAACCTTATATCATGATTTATGTTATCTGTAAACCTTTCCGTCTGTGATAAAGAAAACCATGTGATGTGATGTGGTGCTGGAATGAAGGATTTTGTTCAATTTTTCTTTTTGTGTAGTACTTGGAGAAGAGGAAGAAAGTGTTTCAGAAATTGTTTCCTTCTAAACACTTTAAATGAACCACTGTTTCTACTGTTCCCATCTTGTGCCCATTTACTACTTTTCTTCCTAAAAACCTAAGGTTTATTCTTCTGTTCTGTCAAACCTGTGTCTGAATTTATTGATTAAATTACCTGAGTTGGGCCAGATCTGTCTTTTGTTTAGTAGTTTCATTGTCCTCTGGTCAATATTGTTACAGAATGGTCTAGAGAGTAAAACAAACCTACAAAATATTGATTATCATCTATAATTTCACAACAATTAGAGCACATAGTAACAGGATGAAGCATATGACTGACAACACCCTCTCACAGGCTAATGCAAGCAGAGCCCAGTAATACTGTGCTTCTGCAGCAACTTGTTTGCTACATTCTTTGTCATTACACTTGCAGTCATCCGCTCTTTCTTGATCAAACCGAAAGTACACCTGGATAAATAACAGCAAAAGTAAAGTTGACTTACTAATTTATCGAGCTAGACACACTTCTATATTATATATACAACTCAATAAAGTACCTGAGGGCTTCCCTTTACATAATCCACTGAATCAGGACTCAGCTCATATTCTGCACATCTTTGTTGAACCTGAGTTACAAAGTAAAGTTCAAGTGTTTAATATTAATTCTTATGGCCTCAAACGCTTTTCAACTAAATTAACAATGGAAATTTTTAATGTCTGCCAAAGGTTCTCTGCAGAATGGAAAAGCAAGTGTACAAACTACCCAACAATTTTGATCACCGCACAGCTTTCTAATAAACCACGAGCCTTCCCTCTGGTAATGCGCACCTGATCCGAGTGTAGCAGCAACAACGTTTGCACGAGCGGCGCCGACAGCAGCCTGCAGAGGAGCGGGGGCGGGCGGCGGACGGGGACATCCTTCGACAGCGCTGTCATGCCGCAGGAGACAGTGACGGACAGCGCCACGGTCAGCATGCACCAGCAGTACACCTCGACTGGAACAGCGCAGCGGTGAGTGCGGATACAGGGCAGGGCATATGGTCTTACCCTTACACGCCCATTTGTAAAGCTCTCCTCAGACCGGACGCTCACCGATGTGGGGCATGCCGAACAGCGCGGGCGGACAGGCGGCCTCCAGGACTATGAAGGAGAACACCAGCAGCAGCAACCCGCCCGCGCCCAGGAGCACCTTGTCGCGGGGCAGAGGCTCTCGCACCCAGTACGCCAGGAGGCAGAGTGACACCAGCACTGCAAAAAGAGTCGGCGCACGGGGCGGGCGGGCGTTATACAGGGAAGGCCGTTGAGCGGTGCGGCGGACTATAGCAAGGACTAGCAGCGACTCACCCACGAAGGGTGCGAGCAGGAGGTGGTGCAGCACGGGGGAGGCACGGCTCAGCGTCACGGTGATGCTCAGGTACGTGGAGGTCGCAGGCCCGCGCCCGCCCGACTCGTTTCTGACGACCAAGGAGAAGCCCTTCTCCTCGAGGACCCACAGCGGGTGCGAGGCCCCAGGCTCCACCTGCGCAGGGTGGAGTGCAATGAGTTTGCGAAGGCGGCCTGCTCAGCTACCCTGCTGGGCAGGTGCAGCAGGTGCAGCAGGTGCAGCAGGTGCTGCAGCGGTGCTTACCCAGGCGCCGGGGTGCCCGCGGCCGTCGAGCAGATGGAGGCGGTGCGCGGACTCGATCCCGATCTCGATGATGCACGTGTGCCGGTCGCGGGGCCAGTCGCGCGCCTGCAGCATGCACTGAGACTGCACGTGTAGCGCGCCCTCCCAGCGCACGTCCCCGGTGTGGCGCACGTGCATGAGCCCGTTCACCATCACGTCCCCGCTGAGGCGACGACGGTTCGCAGAGTTAGAAGTTTGCAAATGCGCGCGTCATATAGCGTTTGGAATCGAGACAGCCCTCACTTACTTCGGGATGGTGTAAGTGGGTGTCCACGACGATTCCAACTGCCTGTTGCTCGCGTCCTGTATGTCCTCGAAGTCCTTGGGCTCCCACACTCCCCTAGTGTCGTGCCAGGTGGTCAGGAGGTTCCCGCGCAGCTCGACCGTGCCGTCCAGGTCGTTGATGATCACGCGCGACAGGTGCAGGCGCACGCCGATCGCGGTGCCGTCGGGCGGCTGCAGCTGCAGCTCCTGGAGGTAGAAGTCCAGTCTCTGGGTAGCCGACAGCACACTGGGCTGGAATCCCCGCCAAAAAACGGACACAATTAGTCACAGGTATGTTGTGAGATATAATATGTCGATCCAAATGGGTCCCTGACGAGGTCCCTGACAGTTTACAGATGTGCTGATTTCAATTTGTACATATTTTAAATGTTTATAACACGTTGAGTCTCTCGTGACTACAATAAGCTGTGTTTGCCTACCATAAGTTCATCTTCGAACGAGGGCACCGACTCCTCCACGGCCACGGAATCCAGAACAGGCACCTCGCCAGGGCTGCTCCCGTCTAGAAATAGACCACCACTGCCATTTAGTCATAATTTCAAATACACACGATCTAATTTTTTTTGAAAGGTATGATCATTGCAATGTGAAAAGCCTGTGGGGCATTGTTTGGCAGCTAACGAAGAAGTACCTCGGTAACTACATGACTACTAAGCAATGTTTTTGTATGGAGAACAGGGGGGTCACAAATACGACACAAGTACCGGGTGTACAAGGTAGATGACTCACGCCGCACACTTTCGTAGTTATACTGTACCGCACACCGCACGCACTTCTGTGGGTGGGCTGCCTATCCTCGCTGTCTGCTTACGGCCCTAATGAACCAGCGCGAGTAGGCAACCCGCCCGCACGCGGTACAGTGTAACTACGAAAGTGCGCGGCGTGAATCAGCCACCTGGTATGTAGCGCTGCAGAGTTGCGGGTTTGCATACTCCTTGGCCCCTATGCGGCCCAAAGAGGTTTTGCAATTCCACTCCGATACACCCGGCACATCAATAGTACGATTACCACGCAGTTACCATTTTTCATTCATGAATGACAGTAGATAGTGACGTCATTCGTGACGTCATATAGTCAATGCCCCCAAAACGACATCATAGTGGACTGCCCTGCCCTGTTCTCCATGGGTTCTCGAATTTGCACAACGGAAAATAAAGGTGAATATGCGAGGTAGTTACTCTTGCAGCCGTAGACCCAGGTGCCGTTGCCGACGCTCCTGCTCGTGGCGAGGCTGAAGAAGCGCAACGGGGGGAAGCGGCTGGAGGCGGGCGCGGTCCAGGACAGAAGTGGCGTGTCGCTGCCCTCCTTGCCCACGGCCAGGGTCCGCGCCGCCGTGTCCTGGCGCACCCAGAAGCCGCGCGCCTCCCTCTGCGACAGCAGCCCCGGCATGCGCACGGTCGCGACCCGCTTGCCCAGGCTGTCGATGCTCGTGTTGCCCTCGTGCGACAGGTCTATCTGAGAACGACGGAGACGGGCAACATTTATACAGCAGCCCTTGTGACAGAAAACTGCCGAACGATTGCCGAAAGAGTTGCGCATCGATGAAAATGGAAAGTCTATCGGTGCGATGTGCGTGCGAGACTTTCTACAGTACCGCGACACCATACCGATACAGTAGTCTCACCATGCCATCAGGAGCTTTTCGAGAATCACTGAATCGTGAGGGTCATTCGCCCCCTTACTGGGGAGTCCTCGGTTCGTCAGAGAGCTTCGCCTTACCTCAAACAGCGCGTCCACGCCGGGCGGCAGCGCCGCTTCCAGGCGGATGTGTCCCGACGCAAGCGCGCGCAGGTAGAGTCGCAGGGTGCGGCGCGGCCCGTCCACCTCCCCCTCGCGCTCCACCGACAAGTACTGCGAGTGCGAGTACGCGAAGGTGAGCAGCGGCGCGGAGCAGCCGGTCCGCGCGCGGGCTGTGGGCAGCAAGGGCGTCACGGTGTCAGTCCCGCGTTGAGCTCTCCAGGCCCCGGGTGGGCTCTGAAGATCAGTCTCCCTATTGGGATCATCCAGAAAGTACGTCCGCCATTTGCCGTTACGAAATTGCCCAGTTCTGCCATTGCAAGCTCTCACAGCGCCTGGTGGGTAGGCAACATCTTTTTCTGCAGAGCACGCATGCACTGCTGGGTGGCCTACCCCACGTTTCGCAGGCGCCGGGCTCCTGTAATTTGCCGTACGAATCTGAGAAAAGCGGATGTTTTTTTTTCTGGACGATCCCTATGCGACTCAGATCGCACAGTGAAACACAAAATCTGTATTTAGGGGCGAGCTCACGGTATTGACATGAATACTGTGCGACATACGGACTAACTTTCTCATTTGTAGTTATAGTTTGTACTGCATGTGGGCGAGCGAGCGCCGACCGGCTCATCAGAGTGAGTTGACAGCACGTCCACACCCGTACAAGCGGTACAATATCAGTACAAATACGAACGGGGTTGATGGACCAGTAGAGGACCATCTCGTGAAACTGGCGAAAGCGAGAGGAAACGCCACAGAAAACATTTTCGAAGCACCTGTCACCCCCTGGAGAAGTTAGCGGTTTGCGATTCTCACACGCACCTGCGTCCCTGCCGACGTGGTCGCGGTGCTGGCCATCGCAGCCGAATATCCAGGTGGTGTCGTTGCCGGCGCTGGAGCCAGAGCTGACGCTGAAGTAGCGCAGGGCGAACGGCCTCGGGTCGCGCCAGAGGAGGAGGGTGCGGGGCGCACCGGTGCTAACCGCGGTCAGGTTCAGCAAGCCCGTGATGAGGTTGTGCTGGAGCACGAAGGTGCGCAGCTCGGTGGGCGACAACACGGGTGGGTGTTGCGTAGAGGCCACCTTTACCTCCTTGCCGCGGTCCAGGTTGGTGTTGTTGTAGAAGTCAATGTCGATCTGGAAGAGTCACCAACCGGTTTGGTTGGCTATTATGCCCACTCTGAAGTGCTTCCGAATGGCAGGTCTATCCGGACTGCTAAAAGTAGCTACGTTCAATATGTACGAGTTTACATGAACCTCACTTCGTAGGTGTCGTCCACGTTAGGCGGGATGGACGACGCGAGCTGCAGGTGGATGTCCTTGCGGCCCAGGACGCGGAAGACCAGCACGCTCTCGGGGCCGCTCACCCACCCCTCCTCGCTCAGGGCGAAGAAGCCGTCGAAGTGGTACTTGAAGGTGTGCACCATGCGGCAGCCGGGCAGGAGCGTGGTGGTGTTGATGGTCATCGGGCGCTGCGCCTCGCGCGGAGGCGGAGGCGGCGCCGTGGTCCGGCCCCGGGGGACGACCACGTCCACGGCGTTCCCGGGCAGGGCGGCGGCCTCGCCCTGGCACGCGTGCAGCCAGTGCACCTGGCCGCCGGAGCCCATGGACGCGAAGCTGATGCTCGTGATGTTGAAGCCAGGCTGCAGCTGGGCCGACACCTTGGGGTGTTCGAGCTCGGCACCCTCGAACAGGCTGATTGTCGTGTCGTTGTAGAGCACCTGCGGCCAAAACAGAAACGCTGGAGGACAAGGAGCTCGGCGGGCGTGGGGTGGGGACCCGCGCGGCACTCACCGTAAACAGCCTAAACTCCAGCGGCGACAAGCAGTTGTGACACGACGTGATGTCCAGGTACTGGGACACCTTTTGGATGGCTATCTTGTTGACGAAATTGATGTCGATCTGGAATCCAGCAGAGCGCATTTATTTTTCATGCCCTCCCTTCTTCCTCCCTTCTTTCCTCTCCTCCCCTCCAACCAATTCAGCTCACCTCGTAGAAGACCTCGCTGGGCGTGCCCTTGAGGCGCACGTGCGAGTCCCTGGGACCCTTGACCATGAAGCGCACTGCCTTGGAACCCCCGACGGTCACCGTCTCGCCCGCGATGGGGAAGTCGTGCTGAAACCCGTAGCGGTCGGTGACAGTGTGCTGTCGACAACCCAGGGACGCTGCGGCGGACGGGGACACGGGCAAGTACAGATTCTTATCAGCCTTATCAGACTACAGAGACCGGCTTCTGACTCGATCGGAACACTGGAGTCACTGATTCACTTGTCACTTGTGGACTCAGGCAAGCCTCCAGGAGGCGTGCACCTGCAGGCGTGTGGGGTCTCGTCGAGGTCTCCGTGGAAACCTCACCTGGACCCCGTCGGGACTCACGTTTTGGCGGGGACGGGGAGCAGCTGTGCAGCCAGATGGCGGAGGCACGGAAGCGAATCTGGGTTGGCATGACGAAGTCAGCGTCCCGGTAGGACAGCAGCGGAGTGTTCTCGCTGGCTCGGCCGAGGGATATCTCGCCTGTGGTGGCCCCCGCCTCATCCAAGACGGAGACGGCGCGCACCCAGAAGTACCTGAAGGAGGACTCCGAGAGCAGTCCGGGCGGGGATGTCTGCGTGATGCTTGGCGAGAAGCTGTCCGGTGTCACGCGTTGTATGGTCATGGACCGATCGTCCAGCGTCAGCTGCGCAGACAGCCTGAGTGTCAGCTCGTTCTCATTTCACTGTGAACTCTCCGTCAGCTCGGCGTACCTGGACCTGGTAACTCCCGGCCTCGGGGTTGTCCCCGATCAGATAGATGATTGCAGGCGACGGCCCTTTGACGCCCACCACGTAAGCCTAGAAACAGACAGTTGTTGAGCAGAGGGGGGCGTTTTGTGGCTGTGCACTGCTTAAACAAATGTCGAAAGTTGCACACCAAAATGATGTTCAGTTTCAAGTGTGCAAAAACTAAACACTTCATGATATCGATCTGAACTAGACGTCAATTGGTGTGCAATATTTGCACACTTGTTTTACTAGTGTGGGCGGGGCTAGAGGTGAGGAGAGCGGGTCCACTCACCGAGCTGTCGCTGGAGCGGAACTCGTGGCGGACGCCATTCACAGCAGAGTCCACGCGGCACCTGTACGGCTGAGGCATGGAGGCCCCGAACCCCGGCACCGGCCACGAGCCGGAGACACTGGTGGCCGTCCCCGAGAGTGGCGCGAGCAGCACCAGCAGTAGCGGCAGCAGCTCCCCTGTTAGCCACACCTTGGGACACGAGGAAAGACTGATGAGGCGATGCTGCTCACGTCCAGCATCCCGGAGTGCACTTTTTGATGGTCCCGCGACGTCGTCAAATATGACGGGCACATCCACAACTTGGAATGAGGCATTTTATTGCTGGTATAAATAAGATCAGGAATGAGCATCAATGCTGGACATCTAAAGCCTTCCATTTTTCGGACATTGTCTGCTTTTCAACTTGGTGTTGAAGACGATTTCTGAATCTGTTGCTCAGGAATTAGCACTATCGTGAAGAATTTGTCAAGGAGCTGTAGTTAGCTCGTAATCTGGCAAAGAACTATTCAAGGCACACTGAAAAACTGTAATAGCGTTGTCTATCACTAGAGATAATGATGCCGCGCGTTTTGCACCTTTTGTGGAATATTGTCTAGGCGAGCTGTTAAATGTAATCTTCCATGGCACCATCAGATTGCTCTTAAAATTTCCGTGAGAAGAAGAGCCAGCGCAGGAAAAGGCTCCGACCCATAGCTTTCTAAGAACACGCTCAGTTTTGTTATTTGAGCTCCGAACCCTCTAAACTGTACGCTCGTTCGACCGGAAATTTTACGGGAACTCCGATGGTGCCATAAAAAATCATAATATTGAAAGCTGGCTTAGATCATATCCCACCAAAACTGAAACGGGCGTCGCCGTCACCTATATGTCGTCCCAGCCAAACTTATCGATTAGGCGACCGTTACGGCGCAGCCTTTTCGCATAGCCTTAGCCGAAAAGTTTGGCTGGGACGACCATCATTGGCGTAGATTTAGAGTTTAAGCTCATCCTGTGCAACTATGTTCATCCCAGCCAAAATTCTCGACTAATGCGACACGAAAAGGCTGCGCCGTACCCAATCGAGAAGTTTGGCTGGGACGACTATAGTGACAGACTTGCACCAGCACTACATGCACACATTCAGTAAGTAACTGTGATTGCGGCCGAAGGCCCCCCCCCCCCCCCGGCGCCTACCTGACGCAGCAGCCCCGTAGACGACGTTGAGGTGGCCATGCTTGCCACGGGTCCGCGCTGCACTGTGTCGACAATATCCAATAATCTCAAATCCGTGTTGGGGTGGGGTGTCTTCGTAGGTGTGCTGAAAAACTCATAGGGGCGCGCGCCGCACGCACACACAAACACGCCCTCTGCTCACTCCTTTCCAAATCCCTAACCTCAAAGCGAGGTTTACTGATCGCGGGGGGTTGCGGTTGCGCCGACGGTGCCGGGGAGCGCGCCGCAACGAGACTGGACGGCCGGGCTAGGGGGGGCGTGTCGGGGAGGAGTGGGAGGAGGGCCGAGGAGCCGCAGGAAGCCCGCGGGCTATCAGCCGCAGCGATAGTTTTCGAGAAGGAAAGTAGTGGGAGAGTCATGGAGCAGCAGCTGGAACAAGGGAAAGGCTCCCATGCTCAAGACACGCATTTAGGCCAAGAGGATCAAGTTCAAGTTCAACCATACTCATGCTGAGAGGTGCCAGGCCAGGAAGAAAAAGCAAATACGGGATCCCGCGAAATCCGACAAGTAAACCCCGGTGGGTAGCGCTCCTGATTTCATTTTGTTTTCAAGTTGGTACTTTACTTAATACTTCAGTTTTATGGGTTGCCACCTACGTACAGGGGTTTTGCACAGCGGATTGCTTACCTCCGCACCAGATCTGCGGTTACGGAATATTTGCCACGTTCAGACCATGCGAGGTCTCATATGGCGCCTGGTGGGTAGGCAACATCGTGCCTGTAGTGCATGCGTGTACAGCGGGGTGGCCGACGCTGAGTCTCGCAGGCGCCGAGCAAGCGCCGAGCAAGCGCCGAGCAATATGCCGAATGATGGCATGAATCTAGGGGAGACATATGAACTTTCTACATAGACGATCCCAAAGAAGAACAAATATACTGTGTGCGTACACTAGTGAAGTGTTGGTGTTAATCCTTTTCAGGTGACAGCGTCGCCGAACTTACGCACACAGTGCGGGTAAACGCATGCGATACAGTGGAATACTCGAACTCCCGAACCCGAACACGACTATATGTGGTGTTGGTAAAGAACGAGTAAAAAGAAACGTCTGCACTGAGGCGAAACCTGATCCCTCTCCGCGTTACAAAATTCACAGCTGTGCTCTAAGATAAGATCACTGGTACTTGAGCCGTTGATCGCCGTGGTTCTACAAGAAGTGAAAACCCGAAGGGAAAGCGTTTAGCAACGGCAACGGTGGAAGGCAGTTGGAAAGAGAGAGGAAGGGGAAAGAGCAAAATCAGAGGGAGAGGCAAGGACTGAGATTGGGGGTGAAGGAAACAGGGGAGATTATGAGTTTTACGAGTTTATGTAAGTGAGTCTCAGCTGTGGGGCTGCTAAACGACTGGCTTGTTCGCCTTGAGCCGGGATTAGTTCGTTTACGTACGGGACGGACAGGTTCTGGAAGTAAACTGCAGAATTCCTGAATGGGTCGTGATAGTGACGGTGGCCCGAGCATCATTTCTGGATAAGTCTAGTGAGGAAAGTGCTGGAAGTTGAACCTCTCGGTATAGTCCCCGAAGAAGTCCCGCAGAAAGATTGTTGAGTGATCCTTGACGGGGGAAAGAGAGGCTCGGCTGTGCTGTGCTGCTCGTCATTAAGGTTGACCGAAGCCACGGCTGGAAACACAATGACGAGAGGAGAAAGAATGAACACAAGAGAGAGAGAGCGAGAGAGCGGGACAATGGGAGGGAGGGGCGTAGGGGAGGGCGGCCGAGCCAGTGACCGGCAGCTTGTTGAACTCGGGCCAATTACCGCCCGCAATGCTAATGCCGCTCTCCAGGGAGAGAGAAAGAGAGAGAGAGAAAGAGAGAGATGAGGAGGGAGGGAGAGAGAGAGGGACAGGGAGGGGAAGACACGCGGAAGACACTCGGAGGGCAAAGTGTTTCTGTCCCGCAGGTAGTAGTAGTAGCAGTACGGGGACCTTCTGGCAAAGCCTCGGCTGAACGGGCCCTCCCGACGTGATGCTCTCATTAACGCACAGGCAGCTGCGGCCCAGACGGCGGCGCACTAAAGGCGTAACGCGGGGCCCAACAACGCGGGGCGGCGCGGGCCGCAGCTGGCGTGTGCGCGCACCTCGCCCTGCCGGTCCCCAGCACAGACACGGCACACGCACCCCCCGGTGTGGTATGCGGACCGCGCCCGCTGCAAAGTGGAAGTCAAACAGAGCGGAGCCCCGGATCTGACCGTGGGGCTGCGCGGGCGCGGGCGGGCTCGATGGCTCCTTGAGGCGCCTCAGGGCATTGTCTTAGACGGGTGTTGCGCACTCCGAGCAGAAGCTCCCCTCCCTC